CGGGTGCGACAGAGGTGTCTTTTCCCCAACAGGACGCAGGTTGAAATTGTGATGTTTCCATACCCCCCCCCACATTTAGCACCCTTGAGCCAGCGCAGCTGAGGCCAAAGCGCATGCAGGGGACGAAGCCCAACAGCATGGCAGCTTGCTCCGTATTGCCACAGGAGGGTATGGGGTGCTGAGAGGTTCAGTTTTGAAGTGGTGAAACTCAGTAACCCCGATCCCTCCCACAAACAAACATGGAATCACACCGGGCCCAAGAGGACTATTGTCTGTTCCAAGCGGGTTTGTGCACTTCCAAGATTGAGAGGGAGCTGGGGGGACCTCCCCAGCGGTGTGCAAACTCTAAGGCTTTTCCGGATTGGAACACTCACAAGGTCCCTGTCTCGTGTTTTTTTTTTTTTACACCTTTTGCATGGTTGCCAATTTAGCATGAGTCTCCTTTTGCTGCGGTGATGTTTGAAGTGAAAACCGCAGCCAAGGGTTTGAGTTAATGACTCAGCCTATGCAGCTGTTTCCCACTTGGCCCTTGATTGCTCTAGAGTTCCCACATTGTTCCTTCCTTCTTGGGACGTGCGTTCCCAATCAATCAATCCTTAATTTGCTTAATCCTTAAATAGTGGTGTCGTTGTTGCTGCTTCAAGCACTCCAGATGACTCAATAACAGGTTGGGATTTTGGATCGCCCTGCCTTTCACATTTTCCGAACAACCCGTGTTGCTTGGAAGGCCGTTTCGGGCGCGGCCTGTGTAAGGCCGACTACAGGAGCCGCTTTGAGACCATGGGCCTTGCGCCGCTCAGACTGAACCGGGCCTGCCATAACCGGGCCTGTCAGAGTGGCATGGTTGTTGTTGGGAAACATTTCACATTTTTGCTTATTGTGGTTTAGTGGTTGAAATCCAGCCACGTAACTGCTAACATTTAAATATTTGCTCCCCGAACCCAACGTCAAGCAAGGTGGGACCGGGCTCATATGATGAAAGTTCTTTACTAGACTAGAGGCTTCCCTTTTCTGGGTTTGGAAGCTGCAGTGACGCCGTGATTTTGGCTAGATCTTTGCCTTCAGCTTGAAAAGAGTTGAATCTCCAGCGCGTGGTTGAACGCCTCGCTCAGCTGGCTTCATTAGCGCGACGAGGCACGTAGCAAGTGAGATCCAGATGCCAGATGCCTGAGGTCGGGCGGCTCAGCATCGCTGAATAAGTCACTGCAGGGCAATGCGCAGGCACGTGGGTCAGGTTGCGGATTTCTCAAACCAAGATGGCCAGACTGAAAGGACTCGCTTCGCACGACACAGGAATATAATTTTCGCGATGTGCCGCCGACTTCCACCTCTATCATGGACCGTGGCTTTGGTGTTCTTGAAGGAAGCCAGGGAAAACCCGGCGTTTGGGTCCAGAGCCTTGACAATCAGACAGGTTTCCGGGACCGCAACGACCATGGGAATGCCTCTGGCCAAAAAGCGCTTGAACCCTTGTTATGACTTCAAGATCAGCACGAATGTTTGGCTGTTTTTCTGAATGGACCCTCTACTTTCTCACGGGCCGAAACTCACCTGAACCAAGATTCCGGATTTGTATACTTATCAGGACCAGTTTAGTTTACACTTGATACCACATCTCCAGCTGGTCGGATTCCATGTTTCCGATTCCGCAGGCCACGGCAAGAAAGGCGGCCGCACTGGGAGAGGCGAAGCTATCCGACGAATGCTTTCGCCAAGGGACGGAGTGGTGAGGCCTGCTTTGGAGTTGTTGTCAGGCCCGGGTGTTAGCCCTAGTCCGTGTTTGCAAGCCTTTGGATCTTAGGCCTTTTGGTTTTCTACATCATCCTTTTGGCAAAAAAGGCAGGTAAATTCAGTTTTCTTTTGGCAGAGGATGTTCAAAGGGAACGTTTAGAAACCCGTAGGGTCATGAAGCTCCTTTGAGGGAATTTAGGCAAACAAAGGGTTTCCAGCACATTCAACGGGACATCAGGGAAATCCTTGCTTTTGGTTGATTTTCAGTAGCCAATGTCCTGTAGGAATTGCTGTTGGTGGTTTCTAGAATTGCAGCAAAGCATGACGTACATGAGGAGCCTGGCTTGGCTTTGTTTCGGGCAATGCCCACCCCAGACTCAAAGTTGCGTGTCAGGCCTGAGGCGTTTTTCCAACCGCAACTGAGGAGCATGTGATGGCTTGCGTAGCTTGCGCTGTGCATCATAGGCAAAGCGCAAGCAGCTAGATATCCCCCCGCTTCCCCCCGCCCGGTGCCAAACAGACACGCAAGCTGACAGGATGTATCATCAAGTGTCGCTCAAGACCTGAGGTTCTCCGAAGCCAGATTGCTTCGGAACCTCTTCCACTCGAAACTCTACTGTGGTTGGCATGAATGGGCTCTTGGTTTCGCTATCTTGCCGCGCGCGGATTTTCTGAAAATCTGCGCGCGCCCACATGAACATTCCAAGTTTGCAAGCATGCATCCTTTGAAGAAAACTCACAAAAGTATTGTCCCTGCCAGCGACTTTTCACTCACACCAGCCGAAACAGCGGCTGCACACGCCTCAAAACTATAGGAAACGCCAGTGACTTTGAAGAGTATTTGATTTGCATTGGTAAAAGCAGGGGATTGCAAGGTTGAGTTCCCACGGGAATCCGTGATAGTCAGCCCGAAAATGCCCTTTTCAGCGCAGCCATAGCGGTTTGGAAAATGCTTCGGAAGGCGATAGCAGCCCTTCGGCTGCCTTGCGCCTGTGGATGGCGAGCGCCCTTAGGACGCGGGCCAAGCCAGCACCTTTGTTCAAATAATGCGCTGCCAAAACATTTGTATGATCATGACCGTGAATCGTGCCTCTGCCCAACAGATTCTGCCTTCTGAGTTGTCCTTTGCTGACACTGGCAATGGCTTCAGCAACATTGTCGCCGCCGCACAAATAAAAGCCGTGACGCTTCTCCTGCGCCACTCCCTTCTTTGTCATGGCCCGCAGCAAACTGAGCGAGTCTGCGTTCAGCCCCTTTTTTTGGCACCAGAGACAACGGTGTAAAAATGAATCGCAGGTGACTCACTCCGGGCAAGGTTGGCACGCTCGCAGACTGCGCGGCTTTGTGGAGCGCGCGTGAGCCGTCGCAAGCGGCCACGTGTTTGCCTTGACGGAGTTTGCTCTTGACTGCCTCCGCCGTCTCCAGGAAGGACTCTGCGCCTGCGGCACCACAGCGTAGGTCTTGGAACTAGCAGCGGCCCCCGATTCCGTAGGACGGATTTTGAAGAGCAGGTGACGTCCTTTGTGTATGGTGCGGCGCACACCTGCAGTGCTTGCGCCCGCAGGTCGCTTTAACATTGTCCGCCCGCGTTGACCAAGTCTGGAGGCCACGCGGCTCTCAAAAGTGCTGCGGTGTCGCTGTGCGGCAGCAACCTCTTGCGGTGTTGTCTTACGCTGCACCTGCGTGGAAGCAGTATCGAACTCAAGGATGCCACTGTCAAACACCATCTCCTGGGAGTCCACGTATTCTGCAGTTGCCAGAGCCATGCGAATGTCCCGCGCCGAGGCCGTGACACGATTACGGCCGGGGCCATCCACAAAGTGTGGCAGACTGTCCGGCGGCATTTTGCAGCCAACGCAAAAACATGTACGTAGAAAGTTGATGTAATCCACAGCCATGCCTTGCCGAGCCTGGGAGTGCAGGGGAGTCCAAGCTTCTCTAGGGCATGTGACACGAGGGTGATGGTAGCAGCCTGGCGTGGCGCAGTGAAAGGCAGAGTCCCGGGTCCGTGAGTCCCGGCTCATGGGCTCCAAACAGCTCCAGCAGGTAGGTGTGCGACTGCTCAAGACCTCGAACTCAATCAATGTGCGAACACACTTCTCTTGAGACCAGTTGCTAACAACCGGAAAGCTGTCCTGCTTCAAGTTCCGCAAGTCAGAACTTTGACTTGAGGCAGAAGAGTACAAAAGCTGCAGCTCTTGGAACTCTTGGTTGGCGGAAGCCGCAGCTTTCCGCGAGCGTTCACATGGCACCTTCTTATCTAGTTTAGCCCGCGCAGCCAGTTTGGGCATGCCGGCAACAAAGCCAAAACTGCAGACATGAAGTCAATCTTGCTAAAGAATCGGTCACGCATGCAAGCAAGCCAACCGCAAGAGCGCAAAGCATGAATGTGCAGATGTCTCGAGACTATTGGCTTTTTTCTACTGTGCATTGTGAACATATCGCACCGTCTGATGACCGTGCGTTCTCATCCGCGCTGTGCTGCGTTCCGAGCCAATGTCATTTCCACAGACGTGTACTCCCACCGTATAGTCTCAGGCAGCTGCGAAAACAAGCCCATGGGAAACGGGATTGCGTACCAGCATCGCTTTGATGCACGGGCCGGATCCCGGCGAAACCATGAAGAGCATCTCAGGTAAGTCTGGCCCTTGTTCTTGCCACTGCGGGTCAAGGCTGGTTGCAAAGACAGTGATGCATGATGCGGGCAGCCACCGTACTTGAAGCGGCGTTGCCCATGATGGTGGGCTGGCACAGACTCCTGCAGAACGCGGCTGCGCTCCTCATCTTCAGCCAGAACGGTCTCAACAGCATCCGCAGGCCAGCGCTGCAATGCCCCCGATGGCAAGTTTCTGCTGCTGGGCAAAGCTAGAGGCATCGATGTTGGCGCGCGTCTGCTTGCAGGGCCACGAAGACGGGAAACGCGTGGAGACCCAGAAGGTTCTCCAAAGTCAGACACCTCATCCAGCAGGTCGCCGACGGAAGCCTCCTCGATCGGCTCGCTGGGCGAGGATGACACTGCGCAAGGAGATTCCGTGAGATCCACGCAAGTGCCCCCAGAAGCTGCAAAGATGGCAGCAGCAGCGCCTTGTTCTTCCCAGTAGCCTTAGAAATCCCAAACAATTTGTTACTAGTAATAATCTTGTTTCAAGGCTTAAAAATAAGCGTCAGTATTAAAAGCATAAAGCATCAGCTTGCAATAGTCAATGGCCAGAAACTGATCTTCCTCCGTTTCGACATTGGGGAATCATGTAGGCACAGCTGCGAAGGCGGAGGCGTAGCCGATCCCTGCGAAGGCGTAGCCGATCCCTGCGAATCTTGGCGAAAAGGTGAATGCGATCGATGTGTCTCAAGATGATCGACACCTAGATTCACGTCAGGCTGCAAGCAGTGCTCGCGCAGCCCGAGCAGCCTGGTGGCCAGCACAAAGCAAGCGGCAGATAGCGATGAGCTTAGAGAATGATGGCTCACGTACCGGCTCCAAGCCGAGGCCAAAACTGGAAGTGCCGAGGGCAGCAGGTTCCAAGGCAAAGGTGATCGATCGGACAGGGCAGCACGAAGCTCAGCACTCGATCTGCACGCTGAGTGCAACTGAAGATGTCCTGATGAGAGTCGAGAAGAAACAAATCTGCTCCCCAGAAAGCACAGAACCACTCCGCGGAGTTCGATATCGGCGATGGCTGGCGCGCTAGGCGCAAAAGAATAAGGTATGAAAGGGCAAGCGCTAGCAAAGGCGCATGATCAAGAGCCATGCTGCAGTAAACATGATGCCAGCGTGACGGACACCATGCGCTGATGCCGATTCGAGCTTATTTGTTTGAGCGTGCTTGCAAGACCGTGCTTGTGTGCGTATGTGTACGCGTGCTTGAGGCCAGGACCCGACGAGCATCTTCACCTGTGTGCACAGCATGTGTGTTTGTGCGCGCATGTTTGCTATTCCCCCCCCCCCCCACCCCCCCCCCCGCCCGGGCAAGCCTGAGTTGCTCGGAGAACCCTAGGTCTTGGGGGTCAAGCGTCTATTTGTTTGCAGCTCCAGCGTTGCAGAGAAAATGGAAAGACTTTGGACCACTCTAGAACTGGGCGCCTATCCACTTCCATGGCACTGGATGTTCAAGCTGCAGGGTGTGAAATTCCTATGCAACGTGAGGAAGATTCTGCTCACATGCTTGTGACGGGTTGTTTTGCAGCTTCTTTGTGAGGTGACGGACGGTCTGCGGGCAAGGATGGCTTCTTAAAGGCATGCTCGGATCAGCAGATATGGGAAAGGACTGCCTGAAGGTGCCAAGCCTTGCAGGTGCCATAAAGTAGAATTGGCAGTCAGCAAGACGATAGGGTCAGTGTTGACTTACTGAGTTTCATGAGTCGCAGGGAGACATTAGCTCCAACACATTTAACAAATGTGTTCAGAGCATTTATAGTTACCACCAAGAAGCCATGAAGGGAATGAACGGGTATTCAACACAATCTGACCGCACTATCTCAGGACCCCAAGTCAGAGGTTCCATGTGAGCGTGTGAGAACCGATCAACACAAGAAAAAAAAGCGGAGCGTACAGTGTAACGCAATGTTTTGCCATGCCCGGGGAGCGTAGCCCAACTCATCAAGGGGCACTTCAAGCGCTTCCCTCATTCAGTCCCCTTTTGCACGTGCCCTTCGATTGGAATCACCTTTTCACCTTTTGTTTTCCCTTTGGTCAGATGGGATTCAGCAAGTGATCGCCTTTGTGTTAGTTCCATGCGGCGATCACCTCCGTGTTATTTCCAGGTCCTTGGCAAGAACGTCCCCGGGGCCATGGACCCAACCCTACACGAAGCCAGGCCATGGGCGCAGGCGGCGCGCGCGTGCCCATGCCCGCGGATCCGGCGGGGCCCGGTTTTGGGTCGGTTTTGCGGTCGAGCAGTCGGCGGCTCTCCTTGGGTTTTGCGGGCGAATGGTCGGCATGGTCTTGGCTTGGAGGAATCCAGAGGAATCCGAACATGTGTGTTGCGTGCGTGTGGGCTCTGCACCTGCGCGGGTGGGCAAAGAATGGCTTTCTCTCGTGTGTGTGTGTGCGCATGTGTGTGTGCGTGGGCTCTGCACCTGCGCGGGTGTGCAAAGATCGGACACCTCTGCCACAATGGCTTTCTCGTGTGTGTGTGTGTGCGCGCGCGCATGTGTTTGTGTGTGTGTACGTGTGTGTGTGTGTGTTGGCTCTGCACCTGCGCGGGTGGGCAAAGATCGGACCCCTTTGCCACAATGGCTTTTTCGTGTGTGTGTGTGTGTGTGCGTGTGTGTGTGCGTGCGTGCGTGCGTGCGTGCGTGCGTGCGTGCGTGCGTGTGTGCGTGTGTGTGTCTCTGTGTCTCTGTGTCTCTGTGTCTCTGTGTCTCTGTGTCTCTGTGTCTCTGTGTCTCTGTGTCTCTGTGTCTCTGTGTCTCTGTGTCTCTGTGTCTCTGTGTCTCTGTGTCTCTGTGTCTGTGTGTCTGTGTGGTTGTGTGTGTGCGTGTGTGCGCGTGCGCGCGTGGGACGTGCGCGCGTGTGCGCGTGTGCGTGTGTGCGTGTGTGCGTGTGTGCGTGTGTGTGTGCGTGTGTGCGTGTGTGCGTGTACGCGTGTGTGCGTGTGTGCGTGTGTGCGTGTGTGTGTGTGTTTTGTTTTGAGGTTGCTTTGCTTGGGGAAGGTCGAAAAGCAAGAGGAAAACCGTGGTTGAAGTCAACGCCTTTGAGGTATCCTCTCTAGGTTCAAAGGGACATCAGAAGAAACACTTTCCTTGTGATTGGGGGGGGGAGGGGGCGGGCGGGTGCCACGATTTTGACACATACCAAAATTGGTTATTTTTACTGCTTTCCTTGCCCTGTTCAACTTGACAACAACAAACAGTGTTTTTGCGGTATGTCACCTAGGTAAAGGGTTGGGTTATAGAGATGATGGCGAAGTTTGGGAATTCCTGGGACAACGCAGGTTCCCCTATATGTCCCCTGTCAACATTCCTGCAAGGGCACTCAATCAAACATGGGCCAACATAGCTATGTTTTCTATTTCAACAATCCTGGAGATTCTCCTCCCTCCAACTTGACGGAGAGCTTGCGCTCACATGCCCAGGGCAAGACCATGGAGCAAATGCTCGAGAAGTTTGTGCCGAGCGCCCAGCATTCCGTACACGGTGCAGCCAATTGGAACGTGGCTTGCCCGTGAGCAGATATCATGGGGGGGCCTATGGCGGGTGAGTTTCCTCTGGACAAGCCACCTCCGGGTAGCCCTTCAAGGTGCACGAAGGTTTCGGCGAAGTCCACGCACTGGGAGTCTCGCGTAGTTTCATCGAAATCTCAGGACAAAAGAGCCAGAACCCTCCCCCCCCCAACAAGGGCCCTTGTCACTTTAGCCCCTTTGGCACGAGCCTTTGGAGCACCAGGAAGTCCAAGCTCGGGTAGGAACAGTCGCCTGGAGAAGTCGGCAGTGGCAGCGGCGGAGAGGCAGAACAAGGAGTTCAAGAAGGCAAGGGCTTCGCCCGACCCACAAGTGCACCCCTGCTGTGGCACCTTTTTCCCTCTTTGCTGTCTGTCCAGACAAATATGATCCAACCCAAAAACTGACTCCCATCTTCTAGCAGGGTCACTGACGAGAGGGCACTCGGGCCCCTGTTGATACCCCTGAACTCCCTTCAAACCACTGGAGTGCAGCACATGCCCCTTTTCGACGTCATGTAGATAGAATGCGGACGTACACCCCTAGAGAGCAGCGGAAGTGTTTTGCTCAGTTTGCTACAAGCTTTCCGATAGGTTTTGGCCGGTGAGGAAGCTTGAGCTTGTCAATTTGAGGGCAGGGCTTCGAGTTCGGCGTCTGAAATGATGGTGAGCCCCCGAAAGCAGGAAGCAGCCAGTCGGAAGCAACATTTGTTTCTGAGAAAGACTCCTACATTTGTCAGGAAGGGGAAGGATTGGCTCGTGCAGCCTGCCTTCATTCATTATTGCAGGAGGAAAAGACGGGCAAGAAGCACAAGAAGAAGGATAAGAAAAAGGAAAAGAAAAAGAAAGACAAAAAGAAAAAGAAAAAGGACAAGAAGAAGGCTGGCGCATTCAAGCTTGCAGCTTGCCGTGTGCTCATTGCCCACTGAGGATAAGAAAAAGAAGAAGAAGAACCTCAGGTTGCACTTGCCAAGCCAAGCCATTGAAACCTGTTTTTGAATCGGCGAGCAGCGCTGGGACAGGTATTTCTCTGAATTTTTATGCACGCGACGCGTCCTGACAGCTGAGCATTCAGATTTCGAGTGGGGCGCGAGCATCAATCCACTTGATCCCTAGGAAGTCCTCCTCGTCTTCCTCCTCTTCCTCGTCATCTTCTTCTGGCAGCCAAGCTGACACATTAGCAAACCAACATTGGCAGATGGTGCTCTCAAATTTACCATATGGCAGTGGGTCAAAATCCTGTACCCCTGGTGAACATCAAAATAGGTGGCAAATGGATGTTCAGCCACCCCAAGATGGAGCCATATAGGTTATGCCCCGTGGCCATATGTTTACATGGTATGCATGCCCACATCCGATGTTCCGGTCTAGCACTTCCCTTCCAAAACGTAGGAGGTACGGTGCATGCCCCGGCCATATTGCAAGTAGAACACGGGGGTTCCCCTACTTAGCTGTATATAGTTTACCATGTGGTTGGGGATGAGTGGGGTTTGTTAATTTTTAGTTCGATAGGGCGCAGCTGTGTTCGTTTTCGTTTTGCCTCCAGGTGATGGCAAGGACGAGGCCTGCACTTTCCCGAGCGGTTTTGTTTGCCATGCGCTGGGTCCTGTTTAGCACGCCTTTCTTGAGGATACCCTGTGTCAGGTTGGTTTAAATGGACACCCAAAGGACATCTACAATTTTTTTACGAGGGTATGTAATTACTTTTCTGACACACCCAGCAAAACATTTCTTCCTCGAAATGTTTGGTGATCTAAACCGACACCACCCCCACAGGTTTCAGATTCGAGAACGGACGCAGGAGTCTCGCAAGGACGAGAAGCCGGAGGAGAAAGAGGCACATGACATCCGGTTCTCATAAACATCGCAACCACCACGTCCCTTGCAACTGCAGAATGCAAGGATGAGAAGGGCGCCCACTGTCCCTTGAATACTTCAGGGTTGCCATCAGGCTCCGCCTTGTGCGCACTGTGCCCCAGCTCTGCAGTCAGGGCGCAATGGCTGCTAGTGTCATGTACATACAGGGGACTAGTAGCCCGCTCCAAAGCGACGCAGGGTTGCCATCAGCATTTCCTGCACTCCCAAAAACATCCGCGGGGCTTCGCAAGCCAGGAGCACGGGGAGAAGAGAAAACACGAAGGCGAGCAGCCCGAGCTGGACTTCTGAGCGAGCGAATCGGCCCGCGCAGCGGGCCCTAAGGCCGAAGAGGCCCAAGTTGGGACCTTTAGGTGAACGAGAGCGGGAAGCAGTTGCTGGCAGGTGCATTCATACTGTGGATGGACGAAATCCTGCACCACCCAAGAAGCCATGACAACCACTGCTTGTTGGTATTTATAGGGGAATCATAATCCAGGGAATCTCAGGTGGTGCAGGATATTGTCCATCCACCGTATCCCACTGAAGGGAGAGAAGTGGGCCCCATACTTACACTTGTCAGCATGTTGCGCCTGGTCTCCATGTTCATAGGTTGTGTTAAGCGGTCTTTTAAAATTGGGGCGGCGAGCGAGGGAAGGGCTATTTGCCAAGTTTCAAAGAATCTGTTCGCTTCGCCAGTTCCATTGCAGCGGCCAGCAAGCTTGCCAGCAAATTGGACTTTGGCTTTGCGAATCCCACGGAGGTGCGTCATTTGGATTTGAGTTTTAGTTTCAGACGCTTTGCTGTATATCATTGAGTTTGTGTTTGTTCCTTTCCCAAGCCGCTTCAAGGACCGCTTGCTCCCGCTGCCAACATCGAATGTGAGGGCTATCTCCTGGTTTGACCTTTCCCCAAAGCTTCAAAGAGAACCTGGAGAATAGTCTGCTTGCTGAATAGCATGTGAAAGGGCTTTTTTATTTTTATTTTTTTTTGGGGGGGGGGCGGGGAGCAACACCCTGGTCCGCCAAGTTGCAGGTCCCGAAAATTACACCAGCAGAGACCCCAAACAGTTGAGGGCTGACGGGCGGGCACAAACATGCCAACAGCTTGTGGCTTTCTGCGCTTCAACACGGATGAATCAAAATGATGCAGTCGTGAACCTGGCGCGCGTTGCGTTGCTGCACGTGTGTTGCTGGCATGCTTCGCGCTTCAGCACCGCGCCAGAACTGGGGTTGGGCAAGCGCGCGCGATGGCGGGCGAGCGCGCGCGCGTGAACGCAAGTGTGGCCGCGCAAGCACGCAGTCACATGGGCAGTTCAAACACACATGTCCAATTCAGACACACATGTGTGTACACGTGGAACACTCATACGTATACGACTGAAACAGTATACATTCACCTGCGGCACACGCATAAATGTGTTGAGCTGGAAAACAAACATGTGCTTCTTGGAAAGCACACACACACACATGTGCAAACGTGGAACGCACATATGTGTTCACTTTCGACACGCTAATGCGTTCACGTGGAACACACATGTGTGTTCACTTGGAACACAATGAAACGCGTGTCCAATTCAGACACACATGTGTGTACACGTGGAACACACATGCGTTCACTTGGAACACAAAGACGCGCAATTAAAGCACACATGTGTGTACGCGTGGGACACACATATGTATACCACTGGAACACAAACATGTGTCCACCTGGAACACCGCGTGTGCGATTAAAGCACACATGTGTGTACATGTGGAACACACATATGCGCACACGTGAGCAAACATAAATGCTCACCTAAATCGCACACACCTGCGCGCACCTCGAAAACAATCATGCGTTTTCTGGAGCGCATACATGTGCACACCTGGAGAGCAAATATGTCGTCAGATGCCAAAAAAAGTTCATCTAGCACATACTAATGTGTTCACGTGAAACACACATCTGTTCACCTGGAACACAAACACGTGTCCAATTGGAACACACATGTGCGTACACGTGGAACACACATATGTGCACACGTGAACACGCATATGTGCACACGTGAACACTCACATATATGTGCACCCGGAACACACACCCGTGTGCTCATCTGATAACAACCATGTGTTCTCCTGGAACACAAACACGAGTCCAATTGGAACACGCATGTGTGTACACGTGAACACACATATGTGTACACGTGGGAGACGCAAATGCGCACACGTGAACACACACATGTGCACACGTGCAACACACACATGTGTACTGCACATGTGAACACACACATTTATGCGCGCGCGGAAAACACAGACACACACGAGTGTTCATCTGATAACAAACACGTGGTCTCCTGGAACACAACCGTGTGTCTAATTGGAACACAACCGTGTCTACACGTGAACACACATATGTGCACACGTGAACACACACACATATATATGCGCACCCGGAACACACACACACACGTGCGTTCATCTGAAAACAAACATGTATTCACCTGAAACACAAACACGTGTCCAATTGGAACAAACATGTGTGGACACATGAACTCACAAATGTGTACATGTGGAACACACATATGTGTGCAAATGAAGCGCACGCGGAGCAGACACACACACACACACACGCGTTCATCTGATAACAAACATGTGTCCTCCTGGAACACAAACACGTGTCCAGTTAGAACGCACATGTGTGCACGCGCGAACACACAATGTGTGCCGTGAACACACATACAAAAAAGTGCACGCGGAGCAGACACACACACGCACGTGTTCATCTGATAACAAACATGTGTTCTCCTGGAACACAACCGTGTGTCTAATTGGAACACAGACGTGTGTACACGTGAACACACATATGTGTACACGTGAACACACACATATATACGCGCACCCGGAACACACACACACGAGTGTTCATCTGAAAACAAACATGTGCTCACCTGGAACACAAACACGTGTCCATTGGAACACACATGTGTGTACACGTGAACACACATATGTGTACAAGTGGGAGACGCAAATGCGCACACGTGAACACACACATGTGCACACGTGCAACACACACATGTGTACTGCACATGTGAACACACACATTTATGCGCGCGCGGAAAACACAGACACACACGAGTGTTCATCTGATAACAAACACGTGTTCTCCTGGAACACAACCGTGTGTCTAATTGGAACACAGACGTGTGTACACGTGAACACACATATGTGTACACGTGAACACAGCACACGTGGAACACACACATGTGTACTGCACATGTGAACACACACATTTATGCGCGCGCGGAAAACACAGACACACACGAGTGTTCATCTGATAACAAACACGTGTTCTCCTGGAACACAACCGTGTGTCTAATTGGAACACAGACGTGTGTACACGTGAACACACATATGTGTACACGTGAACACACACATATATATGCGCACCCGGAACACACACAAACACACGTGCGTTCATCTGAAAACAAACATGTATTCACCTGAAACACAAACACGTGTCCAATTGGAACACACATGTGTGGACACGTGAACACACAAATGTGTGCACGTGGAACACACATATGTGTGCAAATGAACACACACACACATGCGCATGCGGAGCAGACACACACACACACATCTGATAACAAACATGTGTCCTCCTGGAACACAAACACGTGTCCAGTTGGAACGCACATGTGCGCACGCGTGAACACACAATGTGTGCACGTGAACACACATACAAAATAAGTGCACGCGGAGCAGACACACACGCACGTGTTCATCTGATAACAAACATGTGTTCTCCTGGAACACATACACGTGTCTGATAAGAACACACATGTGTGTACACGTGAACACACATATGTGTACACGTGCAACACGCATATGTGCGCACGTGAACGCACATATGTGTAAATGTGGAACACACATATGTGCACACGCGAACACACACACACATATATATATATATATACATATATATATATATGCGCGCCCGGAACACGCACACACACATGCGTACACCTGGAACACATATGTGTGTATGTCTGGAAAGCACATTTCTGTTCACCTGCAACACACATATGTGTTCACCTGGAACCCATATATGCGCTCACATGGAACAGGCATTTGTGTTCACGTGCGACACTGGTGCAGACCTGGATCACACAAGCATGTTTAACCAGAACAAACTTCTGTGTTGACTTGTAACACACATATGTGTACACATGGAATACACGTGTGTGCACATGTGGAGAAACATGTGCAACACAAATGTGCAACACACATGCGTTCACCTGGACAACAAAAATGTCAAGAGACGGCAAGGTGACGTCCCGTGGGACGCTATGCACCGAACCCTCAAGCTGTAATACCAACCACGTAGAAAGGTGTATACGGACGATGCCGTTATAGCCGAACCCGTGTAAACGTTGTAAGGGAGAAGGAATGATAGTTACAACAGTTGTCCTGACAAATGCAGCGCAAGCAAAGTGTTTTCGCTCTCAATGCCGATCACGTATGTATGCAGTCACACATCAGATCTTGAACCTCAATTGTGTCTTGAGCCAAATGGCGATCAATGGAACTTGGGAAGCAACACCAACAAGGACCTCAGACCAGCTACCCAATTTCGGCACGGGGCCTAGAGGGTTTTAACATCCCCCATTTGGGTCGCATTGTTCATCATGCGGTCCAAACACCACAAAACGTTCCACTGACCACGGCTTCAACTACGAAATCGTGTCGTGCATTCTTTTACTTGCTATCACTACACCGTTCATTCGCTGTGAAACATGCCGGGTTCGATTGTACGAAAAGTGAAACATTCATCCTCCAATCGAAGCACACATCCATATGCAGGTGTATATAATACACAATCGTCACGTCATCTGACCACCAACGAACAATCCAGCTGCCGCATTTGCGCATCGCGCAGCTGTCATCCATAAATGGGTTGGCCGCAAAAGTCCACCAGAGGCGCCTGCTTGTAATCGGTCTGCATATTTCCGGCAAAGAAACATCGGTGAGTAATCAATGCAAAACATAGCCATTCCAGATACCATGGACAATGCATAAATAATGAAAAGATATCATCTATAAGGTAATAGTTCCATCCATGAATATCCAGAGCGTCATAGTCATCGGAATATGTAACCATGTACACACCCAATCATCTTGGACACATGAATATAAATCATGATGTAAAGTCGTTCCATCACAATGACGTTGATGAGACGCAAGCAACGGATGGGGACTAACCCACATCGTGCCGCAATCAACATCTGCATCACGCATACCTGTCCCCAATGGACAGTCGGTGAGTACGTCGGCGGAACTCCTCGTCCAAGTTCTTCTGGGCTTCTCGTGCCCGGACACACTTCTTGTTGTAGTCCTCTGGCAACCAGTGCCCTTTCCGAAGGCACCAATCCAGCAGGGGTGTGTCGCATTTGTTCGGGTCGATGGC